ACTGAGAAATGTTGATTTTACAGTCATACTGTGGGTGCTAAATCATCGCTCCTTTTCGAGTGGATTCTGTCGGGTATATTCGACTGAAAGCGCTCGGAAGGGTCAAAATCATCGAATATCATAACTGGATGTGATTCTGATGAGGTTTGGACCGATTAGAGCGTTTATTGTTAGTGGGCCGATTTCTGTTCCTATGCGGACTTCACCTTTAGTATAAAACTGCATTTAACTTTGAAGTTTTGATCGATATTCATTTTTTAGATAACAGATTAAAATTTATACAGTACTTCGTTAATTTTACTAGATATTCCATACGATTTCCCGAGGATGTATACATTTCATAATCCCATATATTCTCTATCACAAATATACTAAGAGTGTCATCTATGTGATGAGTATCTTAGTACAAAACAGCTCCATTTCGTCAGCTACTTGGAGAAAGACACTTTTTTCATGTGATGTAAAGAAATTCCATAATACACCAATGTTTTGAATTATTCTGGTGATCAGAACTTAAGAGACGTTCTATGAGTGCACCAAAAAAGTACATAATATTACCTATGTCTCCTCGGTTCTCCGTCCAAAGTGACCCAGAAATCCAAACTCTAGGATCTTAGTAACGTTTGGTTGATTCATTATGAATCTTTTAAAAAAAGGTGCAAAATGTTTCCTTGAAAAAACCGCATATTTTCTTATTTTGACTTTTGTGCCGACTCGATCGTCTTTATTCTAAATCAATTTTATATCAATCGAACGAGCGGATAAAACTGAACAAAATGTGCTACGTTTTAGTTCTTAGAACTCAAAAATTAAAGTGGAAAAATTGAAATAAATCAAATTTTTGAAATTTATCACACAAAATTTTTCATTTAAAAGGAGCATAAAGGAGTCAAATCTGGAAAGACTAAAACATTTCTTACGGTATTTTGTACAATAGACAATTCTCTACATAATTCACTATTTTACATTAAAAAGCAACAACTGTAGGGCGTCTGAAAATGAGCTACACTAATGAGAAGTATGAATAAGCGAAAATTTTCTAACAAACTCAACTTTTTCGCATTACAACACTGTTTTCAGTCAAAATAAACCATGTATTCGTCGTGATTAGCATAAAAAAACTGAGTAGGAAAACTGATTTTGAAACACTTTACGAGCAATGTTTTCGTGTCTTTATTCCCCCTTAGGCGTAGAAAACTGTTGGAGGGGTGTACAGGCAAAGTTTTTGATGCAACTGTTTTCGCCTCAAAAATCAGTTTTTTACAAAGACAGTCGAGTCAGCACAAAAGTCAAAATAAGAAAATATACGGTGTTTTCAAGAAAAAATTTTACACCTTTTTTTAAAAGATTCATAACGAATCAATCAAACGTTACTAAGATCTTAGAGCTTGGATTTCTGGGTCACTTTAGACGGAGAATCGAGGAGACATAGCTATATTGAAAAGTAAATTTTGACCATATTATATACTTTTTCACGTGTGGACTTATAAGTGGACGTGCGAAGTATAAGTCCCCATTTGCTAAAAAACGCAATATATATATTATATATACATTATATATATATATATATAGAGAGAGAGAGAGAGAGAGGCAAAGAGAGAGACACGATTTAAAAATATTATTCTGTACTTTAATTAAAAAAGAGGAAGTTTTTGTATCTGTTGCCAAGTATTTTTTTAAGTAATGATTAATAGCCCAATTACTAGATTTTCATTAATGAAAAAAAACTGTTTAATGTCATACAAGATTTCCAATGTGTTCAGAATCATGAGGAAGACTCATATGAGATAGCGAGTGAATGTGAAAGTATAGTACAATAAATGTCTTTAATTTATTTATTCAGCTACAAAATATTTCGAATGTACGTCTGCCTCTAGCGATTCTTGAGTAGCAACAGATATACAAAATCAGACTATTTGAGAGGGGAGAGATGTACCACAATTGTTATCTATGAGCGTCTGTTTCCCATATTCGTGTATTGCGTCCAGAATCATTTCGGACGTAATTAAATTTATATATAACTTTAATTTATGATATCAATATTTTTATCTATATTAAAAGATTCCTCAATTCTGGTAACTTTCGTTTTTAGTGAAAAACTGTTAATTCACTACTTACACATCGAGTCATTTCCGGATGTCCTTTCATATAAGCATCGACAAACGATCGATAAAGACAATATCTTGGCGTTTTATTTGTTAGCGGATTTATAGACATCATTGTAAAAACTTGGTTTTAAAAAATATGATTTGTATATGTCAATGTACTGTTCGTTACTGCTCGTCGTCGTCTTGCGTGCACGTATGAATAAAAATGAGAGAAACAAATGGTTATAAGAATTTTTTCTGTCCTATTTTTCATATACACTACTCTCTCTCTCTCGTACAATCTCACTAGTATGTACTATATGTGTGACCTTTTGACCGATTGCGGTCATGCGATAAGTACGGTATCGTTCGTTCAATTATGATGTCCAGTAATTACCGCAGACAATTTCTTTTATTGGTTGAGAATTTATCGAAAGATATCTATCAAGTATACTAAATCAGATAAATATAGTGTACAAAGGAATTTCTCATTTAACCTGATTCATTTTAAATATGATTACAATGTTCTATGTGGGGATAACTTAATCAGGTGGACGGCAGATAGGCGTCGCACGTATTGCAAGGATTCGAGCGCTAACCGAATGTGTTAAGAGACTTCATTAGCAAAGAAAGCGATGGTAATCATTAATGATACATTGACTTCATTAACTAGTTCTACAACTTTTTTAGAGTAAGTGCTCTTGTATATTGCAGCATACTTAAAAAGTGTCATGTGTAACATTAGCCATACAACACAAAAAAAGAGACTACTCTACTCATTACTGCTTTGTCAAAATATGGGATCGCGCGATATGACAGTCCAAGGGTATTATTTAGTACAACATGTGAGTTTATTTACAAACAGTACCAATTTAAGAAGTAGATGAAGCAATAACCATTCGAAGTGCACATATTGTAGAATCAGTATTAGTCATTCTTTTTCTTTTCTTTTGCATGTAATTTGTCAATCGTACTCGATAAATAAATGAATACGAAATGTTGCAACAGAATCTATTCAGAGTTTTGATTGAAGCTTATAAGAAAAAGTGAAAGACACTAACAGTTTTTGTGTACGAAAATGACAGAAGAATTAGCTTGGCTGGATTATTTTGTCCCACTTGATTCAACACATCGTACAGAAGATATTCCAAATAACAAAAGATTATTAGGTGATAATGTTGACGATGATTACCCGTTAAAACAAGCGAAATTAGCATGGAATATTGGACAGAATCAAAAGCAGTATACAAGCTCATATGGTTCTACATTTGAAGTACCTGTAACATCATTATCAAACCGCTATTTTCTCATCCACGAATCAACAACATTCCAAAAAACTTACTCAAAGGTACCATTATTAATATTTTTTCATGGTTTAAACTCGACGGCATGGTATTCTGCTGTTTTTCGAACAAAATGGATCGAACATGCAAATACTGAAAACTTTTTGTTAGTTTTTGGTCAGGGTCAAGGTGATGAGTTTCCCGATGGACCAATACGTGATAAATACGGTGACTTACTGTTTGGTGATTTATACTGGGAAATAGAAGAACCGAAAACAGATTTTATTTATCTTGATTCTATTCTAGAATACATGAAGCAACATTATGAAAACAGATTGGATGTGTCCCGTATTTATTTTGTTGGCTATTCAAATGGTGCATTGTTCAGTTGTAATGTTGCTATACATTATGGTGGAGGTGTCTTTGCTGCTATTTGTAATCATTGTGGAGGCTATGGAGGAGGATACAAAGATGAAAAACTACTAAATCCAAACACGATTAAAAAAGTTATACCAATTTATCTATTAACAGGTACGAGTGACGCATATCGGTCAAGTTGTGAAAGAGCTAAAATGTTATTCGAAGGTGTGGGATGTGATGTGAAAATGGATATTATGGAAAATAGGGGACATAATTATTACCAAGATAAGGAACTAGATATTTGGACATTTTTAATGTTATATCGTATCAATGGCGATTAGAAGTGAACCGTTACGACCGCCGTATTTCACCGTAAACGATGTCGTTCGCGATGGACGTAATAAGCTGGGCGGCTTTACGTCAAAATACGACGAAATACTACAGTATACGGTCATGAATATACGTCGTGGGATAAACAAAATATCGTTCCCGACTGCTTATATTTGCTTATGTTCTGCATAAACAAGAGAAATCTTTGGTAGGAAGACCGCTTGTAAAACAGCACAATATTCTAAACAAATAAACTCTAAATATCAATGGTATAATCCATTATAATTTAAACACGAGCCCAATTGTACGTAAAATTTGGAATTCTTTTAGACAGTTTGTTTTTTGATATATCTTCTTTTTTTCTTCTACTTTCTTGTTTTCAATGTATCACAGGTAAAATGAGATCGTTTTGTTCGTATTATGTGTCTTCTCTGTATATGTAGGCATGCACCATGCCCAAAACCCTTGAGTGTTGGGTACCCATATAGTATTGTCTTTCTGTTACGCATAAGAAAACTTGTTTACGTGCTGCTCCAAGTATAAAACAGAATCTGAAAATCACCGGTGTGTGTACTCTATAATTTAGAGTGGCTTTTTGCAAGAGATAATATTTTTCAAAGTCATTTTTCGAACTAGAGGGAGAGACCCTTTGCATGTGGTATAGGATTTTCCGGAACTAGCATCTGCCAATCAAGTAGGAAACATATGTAATCGACCACGTTGAATCTCGCGGCACTATTTGTTCTTTAGGAAAAAGTCTAAGATCAAGTAGAAATTGATTTGAAATAACGTTTTTTAGTCTATACTCACGTAGTATTCAAAAATTTATAACTCCATGAAAATTAATCAGATTGGACTAAAATTTTTTTGAGAACTTCCAATTTCGGCTACTCTACGTAGCACATAACGCATAACGATTTTTTGTCTTTCAACTGGATTTTCCAAGATCTTTAGACAAAAATGTCTCTTTAACTTTTTTTATACGGGTAATACAAAATAGTGTATCTTCCAAAAATTACTTTTGTCGTTATTATTAAAAGCAATATCTATCTACTTTAATACTGCAAGACCCAAGACCAGTATTGATCTTACGAGGGAAGGCCCCCGACCGTCAAATCGCTTTTGACGTAAAACTTAGTGGACAATAGGTAACCGAGCATGCTGATTCCGAATATGACGATGGTTTTTGCCAATGTGTCTTTGGAGCCCCCGGTATTTGAAAAACTCGGTTTTCGCAATAAAAAACTTTTTTGATTAAAAATTTTTTTGATCCGTACAAATAAAAGCGCATGCTCTAAAACCTACGCAAAACTACTTTTTAAGGTTTTGGAACGGTTCTGACCAGTTTCTAAAGGGTCAAAACTTAATACTACAGCCGAAAAACAGCTTTTTACGTTCAAACTTTTAGTTTTGCACGCTTCCAAAACCTGAAAAAATAGTTTTGCGCAGGTTTTAGATCATGTGCTTTCATTTGTACGGATCAAAAAGATTTTTCATTGCGAAAACCGGGGTCTCCAAAGACGCATTGGCAAAAACCATTGTCATATTCGGAATCAGCATGCTCGGTTACTCATTGTCCACTAAGTTTTACGTCAAAAGCGATTTGACAATTGGGACCTTCCCTCGTTAGTGCATGTCTCATATAAAAATTATTTGTTAATTATCACAAATGAATACTTTTTATATTTATATTTATTTACAAAAATTAATACACTTCAGTGAAGTGTATTAATTCTTGTAAATAAATCTGAACACTACTTTTAATCTCGTCATCGGTAGCTAAAACGATTGAGACAGCGCGGTAGAAGTTCTGATAAGAATGCGAAGTATTTTCCGGTTCAAGATTAAAGCTTAACCAAAAACACAACACAAAAATCACAACAAAAAAATATACATTGAAGGATAACATCGAGTCATTGCATAACTTCAATCATTGCGCAGGATATAGAAAAGAATAGTGAAACCATGATTTCTGAAGGATTTTCTAGGAAGCCTCCGGACAAAAACATGATTTTTCGATTTTTTCGTTCTTATTGTCACTTCTAGAAGATAAAATTAGTCGTACTCTGAAGTTTTAAACTCGTTCTGATGAGTGAATAGTAAATTTTCTGATATTAAGTAAAAACAGCCAGAAAGCCTAAATTTCGAAAAATTTAGTTTTCGCTGGTTTTTCACTCCGTCTCCTCTTTCGAATGGCGAAAGCCGAGACTCTTTCGCTGCTTTCTATCAAAAGTTATTCGATAAAATACATTTTTCTCAAACACAACAAGTCAATAAACTAAGACAAAATACATTGAATCGTAGGTGAAGAGCAGGTCTCTCCACAAACTGTATATCGCGCGAGTTTTCGTGATGTATACACCAAATACTATGATAGATTGAAGATTGAGTGTTTATAGTCTATAGAAGAAAATAACAGACTATGACTCAGCAATGATGTAACAGTGGCACCTAAAAATGTTATATTTAGAATCAGCACATCTGAGTTTATATTACTAGACACAGTATATCTCATTCAAATTCCAGAAAAACACTTGGATATGTTCAATGATTAGCTAAACATACAGGGGACAAGAGCGGATTTTTAATTGTCTCTTCACCTTCTTAGTAACAAATAAAATTTTTTTCTCAGTTTGATCAATGACCTTAATCAGAACCAAACTACATTGTATAAATATAAGTGCGTTAGGGCACTTTTTGAGAAGATGAAAGGAACACTTTTAAAAGTGTCCCATTGTTCCTCAATTTTTAGAGTGATATCCTAGAAGATATTCAGTTAGTCTAACCAGACACCTGTAAGTAAAAAAAATCCTTGCTTGTTTTCCAGGTCAGGACCTGTTTTTCGCCTGATCAGTGGAAGAAATCAACTTGATGTATATATGCAAAACTAGGTGGTTTACTGTTTATCTGATCAGTAGAAAAAACAGAGTTCTTTTTTGTACAGTAATAGACCAACAAAGCATTGAGAAAACGAACATTTCAGAAAAAATGATTATTTACCTTTGACTTTTCGTATTGGTGATGGTAAGATTGAGCACTAAAAAGTAACATTTGTTTTGGGTATATGGGGATGATCAGTCTTTGGCCGGAAGACCTTTAGCTTTTTTTCCATAAAATCTTAATAGTACATTCGGAAGACATGATTTTTTTTATCATTTATAGTACTCATCTAGAGTGAACGATTTACCATCATTTCGACCATATTCCTT